GTAACGACATAGAGCTGGTTAGAAAACAGGTACGCAAGGGGTAATCTGGACAAAGAGGTAACTAATACAAGTAAAATGTCACAGCAGACCAGATTGGTAAAAGTGGTGGCAGTAATGGAACACCACAAGTTTGGCAAGGGCTGCAAATGTAGATACAAAAGGCAAAAGTACATAGTGCACTACTCACTAAAGAGTGTTTCCCTTTAAAAGTGACACAAAAGAAAGGGAGGGACAGCACTGCACAAACATGTTACATTAGCACTCGCATGATGCGAAGCATGGTCAATCAGCAAACAGTTGCTTCTTAGCAGGTTCCTTAGCAGACGACTTTGGAGTTTTTGGCTTCCTCTTAGAGGCATCCACAGATGCTTCAATGGCCTTTGCAGACGGTGTCCTAATTCGCTTTGCCCTCCCAGGATTAGTTTTCCCCACTGGAAGTAGCGGAACTTCTTGGCCAGCAAGAAGAGGAGAAGGCAAAGCAGAGTCAACGGTAGGAACAGGACAAGTCGAAGAGTTTTCAATAGCCTGTTCTTGCAGTGGAAGTTCAACGTCCAAGTCTTGCAATTCCAAAGGGACAACAGGTTCGTCTTCATCAGAAGAAACAACCAAGCGACGGCGACGTACAGGTGCAGGATGTATAGACACAGATTGCCTAGAAAAGGAGACAAAGGAAGTAGGTCTGTAAAAACACATCTATATGGAAGAACATGCACATTCCTATGCAATGCGGGAGCAACTTGCAAAGCACGAATAAGATAATGACTAACAACAAAGAACCCACTGCACAAGGAATCTCCCTACAGTAAAGACGATTATTACTTCAACTGTGGGAAAACAATTGATTTGAAGCTGACCAAGTAAGCAGAAGCCACAACTATTTGTTTATTTTGGTCTGTATAAACAAAAAAGGGAGAACATTCGTAGATAATTAGTATGGCCACTGAAAGGTAACATTGTATGTCTGCACATTGAGAACACGTGTAAGTTAGCGAAAGGCGAAGAAAGGGATACAAAAGGCCATCCATCGGCGATTGTATTTTATGGTGACAACTTAAAACCATGTATAAAAGCAGAAGACCAAATGTAATTGAAAAGCATTGGTTGCAGTTCTTTTTGCGTCAAAATAAGTATTCTGTGCAGACTGGAGCCCTTTTGTTATCAGGTTTAAAAGAGCACCAAAAGCATGCAAACTGGAATTCTAGGGAGCAGACAACACTGGCAAGCGAATAATTAGAACGACACATACTGTGACAAAGGCTGAAGTGTTGTTGTCTGCAAATTGACACCGAGGCCATTAAGATTTCCAGAGTCAGGATTCGCCGATTCGGTTGGCAAAGGATGTCCAGTAGGGATCTCAAGGGACGATATTGGAACATCGGTTTTTGCAAGAGTAACTGCAGGACGACGCGCAACACTTGGACTTCCAGTTTTCCTGCAAAAGTCCAACAAAGCTGTATAAGGTAAGGACAGTAAACCGAAGTACAATGCAGGATACTATGATAAGTAAAAGAATTCCAAGAGACAATAGTGGCGTATGCACAGTTAACATCCAACCAAACGAAATAACAATGGCGGGCACATTTGAAACGAAGGGTGCAAAAAAAACCAAAGTCAATTGGCAATATGCAAACAGAAGCAAGGTAAACAGGAAACTAAGACCTAATGTAGGATATGGTAAATTTGGTACAAGAAACATAGTAAGTAATAAAGGGCAGAGAGACTTCTTCTTAGCAGATGGTTTCTTCGGCTTCGCTTTCTGCGAACTAATGGTCTTGTTCTGCACAGTAGCATCTGGAGTGTCCGAAGCAAGTTCCCTGATACAGAGATGCTCAGGAAGGAAAGAAAGAGACACGTAAAGCTAGTAAGTAAGTTAACAGGAGGGAAGGTACTGTGGGGATCGCTGTGTTGCAGTTTCTGGGGGCACTTCCTCACTTCTAGGGCTAAGAAGCAGTTAAAACGGGTGTGCAAGAGTCATTGACAAATATAAGCAGGCGTTAAGTCGAACGTTTGAGGTAATACAGGAAAATGCAAGAAACTGACCGCGCATAGGAAACAATCTCAGTACGACCAAGTTCAGGAGAAGGAGCTACGACACTGTTGTTGTAAAGAAACATGTCAGAAAACGACATCAGAACGTGTATAAGCAGCACTGAGCTAGCAAAGCAGACAACAAACAGACAACCTTCCCAATGCAGCAGATGAGGGTGAGGATACAGCAGCGATGCGCCTACTGGAACTTGACGGTAAACAACGCATGGAGAAGGAATGTCAACACATAGGGAAAGAGTTCGACAGCGTCCAAAGAAGAGCTTGTTAATTTTGTAAAGCAAAGTGGGCTGTACAAAAAACCTGTTGTAGGGGCGGCGTGGAGGAGTAGAAAATGCAAGCTGAGAACTCCCACTGCAAATTTAAGAAGGAACCCGAGTTCAAGACAATCAACAACCAGCGAAAAGAGGACATGTAAAATTGAAGCATTACCTTGGTGAAGCAATAGAAGAACCATGGTCTACCGAAGCGGTCTGAATTGTTGGAACAACATATGGAGACGTAAGAGGCATCAAGTGAGGACTGCAACGGAAAGTAGCGATTAGTAATGAACAAAAGGGGACTGTTCCACAAACTGGAGAACACGGAAAAAACCTGTTAGGAGGTGGTGTATGGGGCATAGCATTTCTTGACCGGCGACTAAGAGTTGGTGAGCAGGAATTTGGCTGTTCTTGCTCATTGACAGCAAGGACCGTGAACTCTGGCGGGCCACGAGCCCCATATTCCGGTTTTGGAAGCTGGACGTCAAAAGTAAAGTCTCGTCCTTCAAGAGCCAGAAGTTCTTGTGGAAGAACATTGCGCTGGTAAGGAAACCTAGTAGAGAGATCGTTAGCAGTCAAGCCCACAAGAAGGTCAGCGGCCCTACCCAGCAGAACAAAAGCTGCTGATCCAGTGTTGTCATCAACTGTTACCCGAAGTTTGTAACTGCAAAAAACGTGTACAGGAGCGTATGAGGACACGAGAAATAGGCAAAAGGTATGGGGGCAAGAATGAAGAAAGGAATTACAAGTTCTGTGTTTGTTGAGGCACCAAACGACGGTGGTCATCACACCATTTGTCAACACCATCATAATCTATGGCTGCTTTGGAACAAAGCGCACAACCCAAGTAGTACCACTGCATAGAAGAATCAACCGAAACGATCCGACCAGAGCAATGGTAACGCGTAGACTAAAAAAAAAGTAAACGGAAGAAATGATTAGACGGACAAACAAATGAAGTGAAAGGAACAAAAGCAGGTAAGTTGGAGAGCAAAAGGGGAAAAAACATACATCGGCAACAGGTGGAAAACACAAAGCAAGCAGTTGTGACACAGTCTTCGTACATTCAGCTTCGAAGGCCGCTGCCTCAGTAGGAGTTGCAAACCTCGGAGGGTAATATTGACATGTATTAGTGCTGGCAAAGAACCTAACGGAAGCGAAAGCAAGGAACGCAACAAATTAGCAGTAACAAAAAAGACAGCTGATGATGCGAAGGGAAAAACAAATATGAGGAGGATAAGAAAAGACATACACAGATTGGACCAGGTGAGCCATTTCAGAAACAGGGTTGAGAACACAACGTGTGCCTGGAGTACTGGTCAGAGAGTAACCTCCTACAAAAGGGGTGAAGGTAATAAGGAAAGGAGGAAGGGAAATGAAACGGAGAATAGTGCAGCGGTAAGGTACATGCAGACCTTTCGTAGCGCCAGTGACTCGCAGTGAGCAAACAGCAAGCATGACTGGCCCAGAACGACCAAGGACAGCCAGTTCCTGACCATTGAGATTCCGAGCTATATCACTCCACAGACTGATATCAAGAAACATGTGACTGGGCAAAAAAACAGCGAAAGTAAGTAACAAATGTAGCACAGTCGATAAAGCAGTGGTGTGCATGTGTAACATACTTTTCATTCTGAAGCACCAAATCACTCCGCACAGTGGTACCGAATGAAGTAACAGTGCTAGAAACGCCTGTGATGCTAACAACAGCGCCAACGACATCTGACAGAGGCACAAGCAAGAGAAGAGAGGAAAGGGTGGTAAGCAGTACAGTGCAGAACGGACAGCAAGAGACGTAAAGAATACAGGACAAGACCTGTCAGATAGACCGATGAACGTATGCGGGAATGAAGCGAGCTGAACGGGGTAAATTCGAACGCATCTGGCCAGAATGAAGGTGACGAACGGGTCACGTCTTCGAACTGTGTAGCAGCAGAGAGGACGATGGTCAACTTATGAGAGCAAGAACGATACGAAGGGGCCGGTGGCTTGACGCGGAAGTTGCTCACGAAATAAACGCTACCCAACTGCAGAAGCGGAGAGAAATGGCGCGTGAGTTCCGAAGGAGCCGTGCCCTGAATCAAAGTACCCTGGCCAGAAAAGAAACGAACATCAGAGGGCTGTAAAAAGAAGGGAGGCGCAAGATTGCATGGCAAAATAAAGAAGAAAGCAGCGCTGACCTCCTCATCATTCCACAGAGTGCAGTAGTTGAAGATTAATGTAGGATTCTTCAGCCCATAAGACCCCCACGCATGAAGGAGGCGCAGCTTCAGAAGAGTCTGAAGGCCATCGGAGTCGCTGAGGTCAAGAAGCAATTTATGGGTCACCATGGAAGAGCAATAGAAGAAAGCAAGCGAGCAAGCAAGATAGAAGAGGGAAAGTCTGTGAGGAGCATAAATGAAAGGTAGCAAAGCAAAAGAAGACTTTTGTGGGGAAAGGAACAGATGAGGAAGCGCCAGACCTGTCATTTCTCAGGGGAAAGGTGAGGAGTTCCGAAAACCGATAAGTTGCAGAGAGAAGAGAAGTCGCTGGCGAAGCAACCCAGGCTAAAAGCAGAGAGGAAAGAGAGAGAAAGCAATGATTACAGACGAGAACGCAGTAAAAATGTGTCAAAGAAAAACAGTGTTAAGACGTGACTCTATGAAACAGTAAACTTGTAACTTGTTCTTTTAAAGAGATAATATTTCTGGGCAGCTGAAGAACAGTAATCAGAAGTCAGCAAAGCAGCATCCAGTCTTCTTCCTCTTCCTTGTTTCTTTCTAAGTTCTAACTCCCACCCACCTGCATAGATTCTCTCACCCATTGCCTTTGCCTTTGTCGGTCTCCATCAACAATTATATATATAGTTATATCAACCATTCATTCCCCTCCATTTATTATTAACAAACAAAACGGTTAATGATTTCCCTCATCTCACAATAATAATAGCAATTAATAATAAAAGGATTTACTAATTACCCTCTTTCTGAATTTCTTTGTTAAGCAAATCCCCACCCACCATTGCTTTCTTTCAGAGGTCGAGGTGAGGTCACCACTAATACACCTTCATTATTAATTAATTTATTAATTAGTTTCTCTTCCGTTCCCTCCTTCCTTCCCCTTTCTCTCCCTGATCTCACCACTAATCCGACAAAGAAAAAGAAAAAATTATTAATAATAATGAAGTAAAGGAAGAAGAGAAAGAGAGAAGACTATTCCTTCCTTTCTTTCTGCCCCGCGCCTTCATTTTTCATTTGTTGCCACTGGTTTTAGATTTGTGCCGGCCAACCCAGATCCCTCAACTCTTCTTTCTCCTCCTCCCACCGCGATTCCGTCCGTCCTTGTAAGTTCTCTCTCTCTCTCTCTCGGCAATCTCCGTTGATCCTTGCCCTTGTCCTTTTTCCTAGTTAGTATTACTATTATTGTTGTGCTTAGCAAACCGGCAACACCTTCTCATCTCATTTTCGGATTCCTAATCTCTTCCTTTCCTGCTGTATGTTCTTTCCCCTGTTCTTCCCTTATACTCGTCGCCTAATTTCATTGTGGTTTAATTTATTATGATGTCCCCTTTTGTTTTATGGATAAAGTATGGCTTTCGTCATGATTGACCCCAAAAGTCTGCACCTTTCCTCCTTTTGCTTTCCTTCTGTAGCTCCAACTTGGGATTCCTTCTCCCTTTTTTTTTTTTTTCCTGCATAGCTGCGATCCCATGTTCTAGATCAGATTTTCCTTTCTGGGTTTCTTTCAATTGAATGAATCATCTACGGACACCCGCTCTGTAAAGTTGCTATCTTTTGCTGATGTTCTCTCTTTTTCTTGTTCTGCTTGTTGTTGTTTGTGTTGTTTGATCTCGTGGAGCAGCTAATTCGATTCTGATGACAATAACGATATACTTGGATGAGGGGCAAAGTGTGAGGTGAATTAAGCTAAACAGGCAATTGTGGTTGTTTGATGGGCAACACTTGCCGTGGATCTTTCAAAGGCAAACTGTATCAGGGCTACAATCAGCCCGAGGATCTATCAGCGACTTCAACTTCCAGGCGCAACCCTTCTTCGGATCACACCAGTTCTGAACATTCCAATTCCAGCTTCGCCACCCCTGATTTCATCACCACCCCTCCTAACCCCAACAACCATAACAATTTGCCCATTGCCAGCCCCGCTAAGGAAGTCAGCACCATGAGGCGCACAGCGGATAATCAAGCTTACTACGTTCTCGGCCACAGAACTCCCAACATTCGCGACCTCTACAACTTGGGCCGCAAGTTGGGGCAGGGCCAATTTGGCACTACTTACCTCTGCACCGAGATTTCCTCGGGGATCGAGTTCGCTTGCAAATCGATCTCCAAGAGGAAGTTGATCTCCAGAGAAGATGTAGATGATGTTCGCAGGGAGATTCAGATTATGCACCATTTGGCTGGTCACAAGAACATTGTCACCATCAAAGGTGCCTATGAGGACCCTTTGTATGTTCACATTGTGATGGAGCTTTGCTCTGGTGGCGAGCTGTTCGATAGAATCATCCAGAGAGGGCATTACAGCGAGAGGAAAGCCGCTGAGCTCACCAAGATCATTGCCAGTGTTGTCGAGGCCTGCCATTCTCTTGGGGTTATGCATAGAGATCTGAAGCCTGAAAATTTCTTGTTGGTTAACAAGGACGATGATTTCTCTCTCAAGGCCATCGATTTTGGGCTCTCTGTGTTTTTCAAACCGGGTATGTGTTGCAGTTAATGATTACAATGCAAGTATTATAATCAGTCCATTGAATCGAATTTAATGTTCTTATGGGTTCTGCCACAGGTCAAATTTTCACTGATGTTGTTGGAAGTCCTTATTATGTTGCACCTGAGGTGCTTCTCAAGCATTATGGGCCAGAAGCTGATGTATGGACTGCTGGTGTCATTCTGTACATATTGTTAAGTGGGGTGCCGCCATTTTGGGCTGGTAAGTGTAATTGTAGCAATGTCTCATTGGCTCTAAGGGCACTTCTATAGTGCAATAAGCTGAAAGGGTTTCTGATGGTGGTAATTCAGAGACGCAGCAAGGAATATTTGATGCAGTCTTGAAGGGGCATATTGACTTTGACTCAGACCCATGGCCATTAATTTCAGAGAGTGCCAAAGATCTCATTCGAAGGATGCTTTCATCCCATCCTAAAGAACGCTTGACTGCTCATGAAGTGTTATGTATGTGGTAGCTGATTACTATATATGTATATTTATACTTTTTTTTAACATTACTTGCAAACATACTGATGATATTAAATTAGCACTTTATTTAACTAAGTAGCTTCCGCAGTTCCGTAAACATCTCCAAGTTAAATGAATGCTTGCTAACTACATTAATTTTGCCACATCCCAGAATTAGGGGATGGTTATTTCAAAGCATGCCTTTCTAGAGGCATAAATCTTTCGCACAGAGGAAAAATACTTTCTCAAACTTATGATTTTTTGGATTTGTTACTACCGCTTTCGTTTTTATAGCAGATTTGGCATTTAATACTACTACATGTTGCAAAATGCAATTATTGTTTTCATGTGGTTTGTTAACATACTGAGTTGTGTTTTTTTCATTTTTGCTTAATTAATAAAGGTCATCCTTGGATCTGTGAAAATGGAGTTGCTCCTGATAGAGCCCTTGATGCAGCTGTACTCACTCGTCTCAAGCAGTTCTCGGCAATGAATAAACTAAAAAAGATGGCTCTACGGGTAAGTGGCTAAGTTTATGTATGGAATGAGCTAGACGTTATTCCTTGGGGCTTGTTTAGGTGGCGGGATGTGGAATTCCATAGAATGGGAAGCCTGTGAAATCTGATAGGAGAAGAATGTGGTCATTCCACTTTGGAGGTATTTTTTAAAAGGTCGAATTTGGTGGATGGAATGGAATTTCATCTTAAATTTGGAAGTACAATGCTTCCCTTCTTTCTTCTTACAAATGCCTTTGTAGTGGTATTGCTCTAAGAGTATGATGTTTTGAGGGAAATTCGAGTAAAAAGGACAAAGGCATTGGACAATGCATCTTCCCACTCGTAGAATTCACATTCCAATGAATGTTAAAGATCCATCGAGCTTAAAGTAATCATCCAAGCAATGGAAAAAGTGACATTTGATCATTCTAGGGAAAGCAGGTCACATTTCATGGACAAATTCTGCCATCCAAACAAACTTGCCAGTTGCCTGTTTATAGTGTTACCTAAGTTATTCTGTTGTATTCTGTACTGGATGTATGATTCCATTTCTATAACGGTTATAGCCTGCTGATAAACTTAATTTCGTTGTTTATATTACCCATTGCAGAGAAAAACCAAACCAATTATTTTATCCTATCCGGAACCCATGTTTCATGCTTTCAGGTCATAGCTGAAAGCCTATCAGAGGAAGAGATTGCTGGTTTGAAGGAAATGTTCAAGTCTATGGACACTGATGGCAGTGGTGCAATAACGTTTGATGAACTCAAAGCAGGTTTAAGAAGATATGGCTCGACCATGAAGGATACAGAGATACGTGATCTTATGGATGCGGTAAGATGGTTTCTGAGGTCTCCTTACCTTTCCACCTTAAGAGTGAAAATCATATGAATTGAACTGAAAGTTCATTAACTCCACTCAAGTATCCATTAGGCGAGACAGTTAGAAGCAAGCTGGAATAATAATAGGAGATTGCTAGTGGATTGATGGTCAGTCTGTAACTGACATCTTCTGCTTCTAGCTGATGAATTTTGGTGGGGTCTTATAGAAGTGTTCGGAGTTTTTAGGAGTTGGAGAATGTTATATGAGAATTATATATTGAATTGGTTGCTACTACCATTTGCTGCAAACTACTAGCATTGATTTGCCTGGAAATGTCTATTAATGATTTTCAGGCTGATGTGGACAATAGTGGAACCATTGACTATGGTGAATTCATAGCTGCGACAATCCATCTCAACAAATTGGAACGTGAGGAACATCTTGTTGCGGCATTCAGGTACTTTGACAAGGATGGAAGCGGTTACATCACAGTGGATGAGCTTCAGCATGCATGTGCCGAGCAGAACATGACTGATGTTTTCATTGAGGATATAATCAGAGAAGTTGATCAAGATAATGTAAGCAAGCCCAATAGTGTATAAACATTAATGTATCACTTTCATCGTTCATTCTTTTGAAACCCTTTCCTATCTGTCATCAAAGGTGGCCAAAATTGACCAACTTTATTTTGTTTCAGGATGGACGGATTGATTATGGTGAATTTGTGGCGATGATGCAAAAGGGTAATGCAGGAATTGGTAGACGAACAATGAGGAACAGTCTAAATTTGAGCATGAGGGATGCACCTGGTGCTCAATAATGCACCGTGACACCACTTGTACAGGTACTCTAGCAAACTTGGGAGAAGTATACTGGATAGGGGTGTTCTTCATTTTAGCCGGTGCATGTAATCTTGGATGTATTCTGACTGGAGGTGATATTAGCAGGCAGTAGAGAAGATGGGCTGGGAGAGAGCACATGACAGGAGACACAAAGCACCCATTTTTCGTTTCCCGGCCTGATACTGTTAAAAAAAAGAAGCAAAATTTAGATTGGAGGCCCTGCAGTCGGGAGCTGGAATTTGCGATGGTTTGGCTTGGCTTGGCTTGGATGGAGACATGCATGCATAATAATCTGGATTGATGGGAGACAGTAAAAAGAAAGAATGGTTATAGAAACAGGTTGTTGATGCATTTTGTAAACTTGAGTTTGAATTGAAGAAGTAATGCTACTGCTACGGCCCTCCTCGCTCTGCATTTGTTGTTTCTGCAAGTAATGCAATTGTTGTTTCCCCCTAGTTTCTTTGTATTTTATTTCATCTTCACTTTTCCCCTGCATGTGTTTTCTGTATCTGGGTTCTTGTTTTCTGGGGTTTTTTTGGTAGAACATCATGTGAAATTGTAGTATCCACTGGCGAGGGGTTTTGATGAGAAAGAGTGTGTGCTCGCGCACCCTGTCGCTGCGATTTGTCCTTTGTATTATTTTTTTGGGAGCATTGCAGTTTCTTGTGGATGAAGTAATGTGTCACATCCTCAAAGAAGCATTTTTCATTGGCGGATAGAACCCTGTGAAGGCTAATCCTGCTGCTGATATCTGCCCCTTAAAACACTCATCCCTTGTAATTTTGGTAGTAAGGTTGTAATGTTTAATTAAAACGACTTGGGTTCATATATTGCGGACTCTTCTTCTGTACATAAAAGAACACAGCTGCATCCGCATTTTAGTTTGTAACAGTTACACTTGAAAATGAGCTATCCCAATTCAATACAATACCGGCTCGAATCTTCCAACTGTATAAACTCATTCGTAAATGCAGCCTGCAAGCGAGAAAGGTAAAGGCAGCACTGTCACTACCGTGTCAAGGCGAGCTGGGTGCTTGATCACCCTCCAAAACTGCAGTTTCCTGTGCCAATCTAACTTCCTGCATTCAACATGGAAGCCATTGAAAACTGTCAAAACACTTGTTTACGTAGGTGAGCCTGAGAAAGCCTAAAGAGTAAAATAGTTACCTTAAGTGTGGCGTCAGGTGCAATGAGGGATGTACAAGTAACAGCTTTACCATCATCAAACAGCCATCCAACTTCGCACCAATTTTCTTTCACTGCATACCAAATTTGCTTCGGTAGCAATACAACGCCGCCGCTCGCATCTCTAACCAGGCTCTCCTTCTCCAAGCTGCTGCTGTCATTGCCATCACTTAGTTGCTGAATCAAACCCTGCATTTCCCCAAAACTCATGAGCACTAGTTCAACAACGAATACTGACTTCCCTTTTAGTATGTAAGCTGCAGGTTTCCTAACATAATGAAAAGTTGGATGCTATAATGTTTAGGGTGATCTGATCTGATCTGATTCAGCCCTGACTCACGTTGGGTTGGTGATGATGCTGGAAAGCAGCAACGGCGGTGGGTCCTCGGCGCCAGGGAAAGCCGAGCAGCTTGGCAGGATCGAGTGGCGCAGTGGCGGCGAAGGCGGTGTCCCTGATTGCACACCCGCCCAATTGGTCGCCGTTCCTGAACGGCCCGTACCACTGCTCCCTGAAAACCCTGATTCCTGCCACTTCCAGCGAGATCGTCGGATTTTCGTCGGAAGGGCGTACAAGATTGAGAGCGAGGAGGATCCTGACTCGGGACTCCCGATCTTGCGGATTGACGAAGCAATTCTCCAGCTCCAGCTTATTGGGGGCAGCAGCGGCACCAGGCCAGGCAGCGACGTACGACCCGCTGGAATGGTAAGCGAAGGCGGAGGCGGAGGACGCAGCTCTCTCGTCGGAGGTGTAGCGGGTGGCAGCGTCGGCTTCGCAGCCGACGGTGGGGAGGAGCTTGATGGTGGTGTAGGAGAGGGTGCGATCGGGTTCGGGCGAGGGTCGGGCGAGGGTGGGGCACTGGGTCTGCCAGTCGTGGACTTTGACCTCCCACTCTCTGTACGCCTCGGGGACGACGGATTCGGGGAGCTCGATCGGGGCTCCTTGTGGGGTGAAGTCCGCTGCGAAGCCGTCCCACTCGCCGGACACACGGTCGGCGAATTCGGGCCAATCGTCGGAGATCGGGGTTAGGGTTTGAAGGTCGCCGGCGGGAATTGGGGTTGCGTTCGTAACAAATGAATTGTTGGAATTGTGGATGAGGGTGGTGGGGAAAAGGATCGGCGTTGGACGGAAGGAGGAGGCACGGCCGTGAACAATCGGGCGGAGACTGTGAAGTGGGAAGGCGGGTGACGGGAAGAGTGTTGGGTTCTGGGAGTTGAGGGCGATGAAGGTGGTGCCAGGTAGGGAGGAAGAAGGGAGCAAGGCCATCATCGGGTATTTTACTCTTTTCTCCTGCTTCCTTTACTGTTTGGCCTCCGGTTATGTTGCTCTGTCGCCGGTGACAGTCAGATTGTAGGGTGGGAATGATCCGTCCTTTGCCACAGCCACACACTGGATTGGATTCAGTGTCTCCTATTTTCTGCTCTCTGGGTATATAACTGTCCTTATCGCTTCCCCTGTCATCTGCCGGACTACTGCTTAGTGCGTACAACTAATAATGAAATGTTCAACCTTTCATCATCTTACAAGCTTATTAGACTAACTGACTTTGTTGATTTGAGGAAATTTCGTCAACAACATTGTCATATGGATTTAATTGAAAATTTTTATATAATAATGGGCATGGCTATTCGTCGCCCTAAAAATCCTTATTCGTCGCCCTAATTATATTAAATTTACTGTAATGTCCTTGGTTTTTTTTTCTTTTTTCTTTTAAACTCTAAAACAATAACCATATAATCAAGGTGGTCGAGCACCGTCCACATGTATGGAGAGGGAGGCTCAGATTTAGAATTGCGACCGGAAGCTCTACCGTGCATGGCTGCGACAAACGGCTGCCGGCGTGAATCAAATGTCCCGTAAATCCGGTGTCCACCCGACATGGAATCGGCGGCTCCGCCGCTACTGAGCCGGGAGCTCGCGAAAGATCCAAAAGCTATCAATTTTTTTTTTTTGCAGACAAAAGCTATCAATTTCATTGTCATTGCCTCGTGTTTAATAGCAGAGAGAACCAAACAAATAGGAAAGGAGGAAAAGAGGAATCAGAGCTAGCTAAAGTTGTAATTCAATAACCACTTCAATAACCAAGTCACATTCACAAAGACACAACAATCAGAACGACAGCGACAGGTTTGGGTAACGGCAGCGGCCGCCGGCAATCGGCTGTGGACGGGACGACACAAGGAGGTAGCGCTTAGGGAAATTAGAGTTAAGGGCATACACGTCAATTTAGTATGGTTTAGGGCGATTTTTTTTAAAATTTAGGGCGACGAATAGCGATTCAGATAATATATGGGTAGTTCTAGAGTGCCCAGAGCAAAATCCAGGGTACGGGAGACCGGATGCAAAGGGAAATTACAAAAAGCATCACGACGCGTTAAAGCTTTTTTCATTCGACTTCAACCTAACGGTACCCGGTTTAATTATATGGATTAAGAGGTTAAACCCTATGGATACGACCCACCGCCGTCCTAACCAATTTCCAGTCCCTCATTCGTCTTGGAGGGGACGTCCCCTCTTAGTTCGAAGTTCGAAAATAAGATGTCTGTCGAATCTGAAATCTCCAACAAAATCATCATTTCGAAACCCAGTCCTTTTATGATTTGATCCACATTCGATTTAGCTCCCTATCCAATCTCAAATCCCCAACATCATCATGTTTTGAACCCCAAATCTATGTATCCACATTCGAAGAGAAGATCCCCTTTCTATATGAAATCCCCACATAATCATCGTTTTGAACCACAAATCCCTGTATCCACAATCGATGTTTTGTTCTTCGCCATTTTATTTCCGGCCGGAATTTACACACCTATCTCTTTCTAACAAGATTACGGCGACCATGTCTATTATTGTGTTCATCGAAGTTTTCATTTTGCTAACCCTAGGGTTCATGTCGCCAGTGCTTTGTCATCATGTCTTAGCGTTATTGGAACTCCTTAGAACAAATTGAAGATGAAATAAGCAAGTTCAGTCTTCGACCTAATTGAGGAAGAAGATGAAGAAGACATAATTTGATTCGAATCGGATGGAGAGGTCGCCTTAACTTGTGTTTATGTATTAACGGTGCGTTTAGGACTAAGTCTAGTTGGACTGGGATCCATATTATTTCTGGGTCTAATCATTCATTTTTTGCAGGCTTTTAAATTCCCTTCAAAAGTGGGCTTGTGTACATGATCCAGATTGTGAAGAGGTTGGGCTTTTATTTACATCTGCTTCTGCTTCTAAATCCTGATCATGTCTTGCGTTCACGCAATTTAAACATAATTATGTGTTCCATCTTTTTTTTGGGATTCGGTAAATGGTAGCGTGTCTCTTTACACATTTATCTGTACGAGGTAAACAACAATCTGCCCAATTTAACTCTTTATTAATTGCCCCTATTCCACTCTCTCACTGTTTGTCCCTCTTGACATAACAAACCTCTTGTAGACTAATTAGAGGCTTGTGGTTGGATACTTAGTGATGACATTTTTTAAATTTATGTTTTGAAACGAAAGTTAGAATTTCACTATTGAAGTACCTATGTACCTTAATTGGGCAAGTATTTTCAAAATTAAAAATTTTATCAGCGTATAGGTATGCGATTTATTGTATAAGGTGTTTATGGTTAAGGTAATGGTTACTGACTGGTTAGGGTATTAGGTTGTTGATGGCTTAGAGTATATGGTATGTGGGTAGGTTATAAGGTGTTGATGGTCTAGAGCATATTGTATTGATTGGTTCGGCTGAGGGTAGGTGTTGTTTTATTTTTCTCGATTTTATATTTTTTTTAACATCTGCTTATAAATGCTGATCATGCCTTATTATCAGGAAATTTAGACATAATTATTGTAGCGTGTCTCTTTACACATTTACCGGTACGAGATAAAATGATTTGGTGTGTGCAAGGTAGGTTCTCATTAACGAATTTTGCCTTGTTGGTGATCCCGACCATTAGCGATTCGCCACATATGGAATCAAAATTAGTTAGAGTTCTTAAGTTCATCTTTCTTCATTTATTCTTTGATTTGAACGAGCAAGTCTTTGCTCCGAAGGATTTTGTAGTGGCGTGCTAAAGACAATCTGTCCAATTTAACTCTTCATTAATTCCCCCTTTTTTTTGGTAGAATAATTCCCCCCCTTTTCCACTCTCTCAGTCCCCGACGAAGTTGAAACAATCCCATGTGATATATTTACCGTTCATTTTAACCCTTCACTTAATAAGAAAGCGAAATTATGCAAGATGGTCATCAATGAGATGTAGCTTAATTGGTTAATTGTCCTTTATTTGCTTAGTCAATAAAGTAGAGGTTTGTGGTTCGATACTTAGTGAGTATCCATTTTTAATTTATGTTTTGAAAAGCAAGTTAGAATTTCGATTTTGAAGTACCTATGTACTCTAGTTGGGCAAAAAATTTATCAGCGTATAGGTATACGATATTGTATAAGGTGTTGATGGTTTAGAGTATATGGTATTGGGTTAGTGTATTGATCATCTCCATCCCTAAAATTGAACAACAATTTCTAAACGAGGTCCCTACCGCCACATCATCAATTTTAGCAATTCATCACTTATCAATTTCTATTCATCTACATCCCTAAATTATGCTAGCAATTGCCAAGGTGGGTTCCATTTAATATTTCAAAGCACAGAAACACTTATTATAAATTGAAAATTTAATAAACAAGGAAAAAGGAAAAAGAAAGTTATCTATGTGGCATTGCTAAGTTTTTGCCACCTAAGCTCCACCTCATCTTTAGCAATTGCTAAAAGTTGGGGATGGAGATAGAAAAAGGTGTTTATGGTTTACAATATAAGGTATTGATGGTTATGGTATAAGGTAGGTAGCAAGGTGTTGATGGTTTAGAGTATATATGTTATTGATTGGTTAGTGTATAAGGTGTTCATGTTGTAGAGTACATGGTATTGATTGGTTTGGGTTTAGGGTTTAGGGTTATGATTCAAGTTAGAATAACATAAACCAGATCAATAGAGTAATGTTGGTAAATGAAAAAGTTAGTTAATCTACAAAGTCAGACTATTTATAAAAGCACATCCTCATCTCCCACCGTCAATTCCTAAACTTTTCCCTTAATCCGATGGTGAAATACCTTCGATCCTTGTCGCGTGCGTGTCACCCAATCAGATATCGCCGAATTCAGAAAGTCGCTTTTGCCCATAACCAATGCTGACGTTACCAAGGCCGAGGCAGTGGCAGGGAGTGTAATTTTCAGTAAATGTGAAGGGCGGGAAAGGAAAAGTAATTACGAGTCCATCTATAAATTCGCTAATCAATGAAGGAAAAGACCGTGCTCCGAAACCCGAGTGGCACTCATCTCCTGCTACTGTTCGTTCCTCCTCCTCTCAATCCCCGAAAAGAACCCTTTCTCCCATTTTCTCGATATGAAACTATGAAAATGAACCCCAACCGCCTCTTCATCCTGTCCCATGCTTTATTTTCGGTTGCAGTGGTAATGATGATACTGCGTATTATTTTAGATTTCAATTCCCTTCATTATGTCCGTCTTAGATCATGACTGTTAAACTAACTCCTTCGTTTTATTGTTTCTTCTTTTCTCTCCATAGAGGGGCTTTTGGAGAGGCAACGAGGGGAGCATACTATGCGTCTTAGATCATTCTTACTAGCAGAAGAATAGCAGTTCCCAGCGTTGCCATATTTGTTGCATTTCATAAGGCAGTCGCTACAAATCAGGATGCTATTAGTTGGCAACACGAGTTTACTTGAAAGAGAAGGGAAACAGAAAGCTATCATCAATGCTCACCCCATCAAGATTTTTGCAACAATCAAGCGTGGGTCAATCTCATGTGCCGCAACCGCATCAGCACAGGCATCTGGAATATCCAAATGACATTTTAACTAGGAGGGTAGAACTTCACCAAGAGGACCCAGAGCTCTACCACTGACATAAAAACAGGGGGAGCCCAAAGCGACAAAGCAGAACAAGGTGTTCGATTTTGGATTGATCAAAGCAACGGTCTAATTCACTAATTTGCCAAGCATAGTAAAAGCCTCCCTACTGCATAAGGTTCCCTGTCCAGAATCATGCAAGTCTAATTCTAAATTCAAATCCTAATAATTACAAGCTAGCAGGAGCTGGATAATTATGGTTCAAAGCTTAACCAGCCTAGCCTCGCTTTCTGAAAGAAGAGAAAAAAGAAACTACCTACTGTGGAGGGAAGAGATGGAGAGACGACGACGGAGATCGGGAAACAGAGCTTCCCTTCCTCGTCTTCCCAGTTCTCCCTCGCATCCATTCGCCTTCCCTCTGCTCCCGCTGCAGCAAAAGGACTGCAAGATCCTCGACACCAAATCCCAAACCCTCCGCATGTACGTCTTCCTCAGCGCCCTCCTCGGAATCTTCCCGGTCGCCTACATCTGCGAAGTGAGTGGTTTTTGTTGATTCACAAATGGGAAACTCAGCTACGGCCGATCGAAACCCATCAACGGTGAAGATTATCTCCGGGTCCCCTGTTACTCTGTTCTCCGACCTCAGCTATGGCATCCCAGTAAGCTCATATTTCTGTGCTTTTCTTCCTTTTTATCTTCGTCTAACTGTTGTTCTGATCGGAGCTTTGGAGGAAGAAAGGTAGTCTGTAGAATAGATACTGAGAGTTCAAACACGGTGTTTGCGATTGTACGTCTACCTTCAGTTCTCTGGGTTTATGAATGTAATAAGAGTATTTGATTGTTCTGGAACTTCAATTTCTGTTCATGTTCATTCGAAGTGCTCCGTGATTGGAAGAATTTGTGCCTCACGGGATGAATAGGTAGTGGAATGCAAGAGTCTCTTGGTTGAAATTTTCTTGAATTGGGGAGTTCTTGGAATTCTTGAACTAGTGGGTTCAGAATGCTTGAGAACTTTACTGCCAAACTGATGCCTGATCTACATTGCGTTGCCTATGTTTCTGTAGCCTGCCCATTGTTCTTATTGTTTAATTGATTTGATGATTCTTTCAGGCCAAAGTTGTCTTAGTCATACTGATACATACATATATGTGCTTTCCTTTCTGTTGAATTTCTTCTCTGTTCCCACCAACTGGTGTATGTTTTAGTTTATGTGGAGTGGATCATTAGTGGGTGGATATTATATACAAGGTCTGTAAAGTTTATCACATACTTGTTGGTTTTGGGCTGGTTAACAGTTTCTGAGTAGTAGCAGCTATGGAACAATAAGGAAGGGTTAGAAGAGGAAGGATACTAGGATAGTAATGTTAGCATGGCTATGGAACAATAAGTTGTAGAGCTAGAAGAGCAGTAGCCCTGAAAGAAGTATGCTTTTGCACAGGACATCAAGATGAAACTGTTGAGGTTGTGGTGAGGCTTGCATTGCGTTGTCGAGTGGGTTCTGTGAGTTTTTGGGTGAGGAAGTCACACTCTTCGGGGTTTGTGGGTTTTTATGGAAGAATTTGTTGGTTTTGGTTGTATCTGGCTGCAACCTGCTTGGAAGATGTCTCAAAACTATGAATCTTTTTGCGGGTTTAATGGGCTAAAATTGAATCTTTCTCTTTTCCGCCTTGAACATTTTACTTTCAGTCATCTGTAAATGTGAGTTGATTGCCATTTTCTGAGTTGTGAATGACTTTGATCTTGAGGGTTCAATTGGAGTTCTGTTATGGATGCCTCTATTTAGCACAGCCCTGTTGAGATTAACGATGATTACTGTTGTGGTTTGACATGATTAAAAAGGGAAGAATCTCAGCTTAATCAACCCGTGTGTTTAAGGTTGATGAGATCATATATACCATCACTGGTCTGGAAGAGCTCGGGGAGTGGATGAAGGCTTGTTTGGAGCAGCACCCCATGTTAAGTCCCTGAGTGACAGATGAAGAACTTGAACCGGATCTGGTTGTTCAGCTCTTGAGTACTGCAACAGAACAGGGGCAGAAAGTTGTTAGGAAAGGAATGGGGGCCAGATAGTTTTGGCTTTTGAGTTTTGACAGCAGTAAATAAGGCTCTGCAAAGATGGAGATGGATGCCTTAATAGATTGATTAGGAAAGGAGACAAAGAGACCATTCTCCATGTTGCGAGTGATGGTTGGTTGTACTTCTATCCATTGATATGGGTTTTTGCAGGAAACGAAGAGTATATAGCAGTGGTTACAGCAAATGGAATTGAAACAATGCCTATAACAAGTGGAATTCGGGTTTCGGGTACCAAAACCGAAACCATTATCGGTTCGGGCTAGGTTTTCAAAGAGGAAACCAAATCGGTATTCGGGTTCGGTTCACCGAACATAGATAAGAATCAACAAGAGTATAGCAAGGTCCAATAAAATTAAACTAATAATAACTAGCTTATAATCCGGTCCGTTGGCCGGAATGTTCATATTTTAATATATATTTTGGGTAAATACAATTTATTAGCCAAACCTTTCATTTTAAACAAAATAATAACAAAATCTTTTTAACAATAATCTAATAGCCAAACCGTTAGCTTTCTGTCCGGTCAACTGCTAGTTGACTCTGACATGGCAAATAAAATGCTGACTCATAAAAATTTGATGACATGGCCATAATATTGGAAAAACATAATTAAACAATTTTTATTAACTCTTATCCTTTCTCTTCTCCTCCATCAGGGACATCAACCAAACTTCCGAACCACCTTCTCTCCTGGAAATTCCCTCGACAAATCCTCTCCTTGCAACCTACGGCCTCCTCCAATTGACCCACCAACAACCTCGCTCCTGGCTAGGGATGTTAATCCCTAACTGACAATGAGCGACGGTGAATCGACTGTGGGTTTGGCACATCCTCAAACGAATCTCGACTGGGATCGGAAACCCTGTAACCACACTTCGTCGACAACAATCGGTAACCGCCCCGTCCTCTCCCGCCGCCGCAACCGCTTCCTGTTTATCTACCTTGGCCTGGCCAGAATCCCCAGTCGCCAATGTCGGAGGAGGCTTCTCCTCCACTGCCCCTCTCCTTTCCTTTCGTCGGATCGTCGAGGGAGACAAAAACGGAAGAGGAGAGAGTAGATCGGACAAATTGGAGTGTTGGCTGATAATAATGGCTATAGGTGTGCGACGGAGGTGGAAGGAGAGGCAGAGGAAGCTTGGGCGAAAGGCCAATAAAGATTTTACGATGAACTGTAGCTCCGGATGTGACGGCGGGAGGAGGCGGGGGCTGCGGTAGATGGTGAGTGGTGACCAAATCTACGAGGAATTCAAGGAATGGCGGTGGAGGGTCTACCATGGCATTTGTGAGCTCTAATCGAGAATCAATTTTTTCAAAATCTCAAAGTCAAACTCTCCCCCCTTTTGTGTTTCACCTCTGTTGCCCGCTCAAAATCTCAATCGCCAAAGCTCCGGACGGGGAATGCACGACCGGGCGAAGCTCGTGTTTTCCGGCGCTCGCATGAGGAGGGATGAAGGCGGGCGCCGTTCAATTTGGTTATGTGGTGGCAACGGGGTTGGGTTTCGCCGGAGTGGGAGAGAGAGGGAGTCTAACGGAGAGAACGGGTGGAAGAGAATGGAGAGAGAGAGAGTGAACGGATAAAGCTTTGTACATTTCTCTTTTTTTATTTAATTTGCAAAATAAAATCATCTCTAATTTTTATTAGTTGCCACGTCAGTAAAAATGAGCTGATGTGTACAGTTATTTACTACGTCAGAGTCAACTAACGGTTGACCGAACGGAAAGTTAATGTTTTGGCTAATAATTTGTTTTCAAAAAGGTTTGGTTATTATTTTGTTTTAAGATAAAAGGTTTGGCTATTAAATTGTATTTACCCATATATTTTTAAGTCGATTAATTTGTTTAAGTTTATTGAAAACCATTCAATCGAGATTCTACATAAAGAATGAATATATAGGTCGAATATTCAGGAAAATACCCTCCTCATTTAAGAATATAAAAATGTATCATTAATCCCAAATTCATAATGATAATTGAGCCCCCATTAAAATGATATTGGTTAATAGATTGTCCAGAAATATATAATATAAAAGCTTATTGGAATTCTCACACGATTCATAGATAGTTTGAAACTGAAATGAAACCTCACAATCCCACATAAATGGTTCAAAGCTCTTCTCTATGAATAACATGCCACTAATAAAAAGGAAATGGATTTATAAAAAAAAAATGAAATGAAGAGTTGTTGATTCAAGTAAATCATATGCTAACAACTCAACTAAAAGGAAACCATCAAAACTTGAAGATTCAATAGTTTCCACTCTCCGTTGTACAAACAACTTTTTATCCCCTCCATCTTCAATCTCTCAACGTATATGTTTTAAACCAAAATTCAATTTCTAATCCTCCTTCTGCAACTCCATTTATGCTACTTTGATGAACCTTCTCTCCATGAACCTGAATTTCTCTTTCAATTTAGTTTCTTGTTAGTTTGATCTTCAACTCCTCAATCCTCTTTCTTGTATTTGGCCAACTCATCCTCCTCGGGGCAGTTTTAATAAGCTCGTAAAACCAACACTTATCTTCAATTCCATCAATATGCTCTTCTCCTCCTTCTGTCTTCACCTCATCCAGTTCACTTCCATGCCCTTTCAATACCCTCTCCATTTTCATTAATATCCTGATCATCTACCACTTCTCTCTCTTCAACTGCTCCGATTATGCTTCTATGTCTTTCAATACCCTCATTGGTTAAATCACTACCCTGACCAACTGTCTCTTCACTGCCTTCACTTGCTGCAAACTACTTCCATGACTTTTTATACAGCTTTCTCAAAATCACAATCAACTAACCAATATCAATCCATGGCCTTGGATCAGTTTTAGACTCTCTATGAACATCTCAATACCACAAAGTCTAAATCTAAATATTCTTTCAGTTAATCATGAACTTGAGTTTATCAAAATCTAATCCACTCATTCTAAGTTGGAATTCCCATTCCCCAAGCTCATTTTTGGTTCATTTGATCCCACATAACCATGATATTATACCTCTAACTAAAATAAATCAAAGCATTTTACGAAAAGAAATCGAACCATGTTTTTTACCTGCTACCAAATCCAAACACAACTTCTTCCCCTCACCACTTCCCTTAATCCCTTCTCAAACCGAATATCAACTTTTACTCCAAGTACACACCCCCAACTCCCAGTGTGTTGCGTGAAAGCTTAATTTTAGCAATAATTATGCTTGCAATTAGATTAATGGACACCAGCAAGCGCCAAAATTCCACCAGACGATGAGTTGTCTTCACTTTGAGTTTTGTAATAAAACTGCAATACCGAATCAGTTGCAGCGAAGTTACCGGTCACAGTAATGACAATGTGAAACACGTGTTAACAAACGCGAATATGGGTTACTTTTATGGGTTGACATTAGAATGATGGGATTGGAGAATGAGATCGTCCTTAGTTAAGCGACATGTAAATTGGTCATTTGGTATGGAGGACACAAACCGTTAAAATTCTAAATTATTTGGGTGAGTTTGTATTTAGTGTTTTCAAAATCGTGGTATATGATTTAGGTGATTAAAATATCTAAACCCAAACGAACCTACCCACGCACACCCCTAGGAAGAGTTTCAAACTTAATATTTAACCGGACAAAAATATTCAGAGAACCAGTCCCCTATAGTTTGCACAAAGATATGATTGTTTCACTATAGTTCTGAAAATTAATGATAATTTAAGAATTCTCTATCGCTTCTACATATTCAATACTATAATTCGATATGAAATATTTGAACCAACAATATTTTGGTTGCAAATTTATGGTTATCGTCTATTTATAATATAGATAAAATTTTAAATTAAGAATTAAACTACAATTAAAATAAAAATATCAAAATTGAAGTATCAAAACACCAAATAAGTACTTACGAAATATTTATTGGGCTAGCTAACTGTTGAAAAGTTTTGTGATTTCATATTTTCGCTTCGTATATGTTTTTAATTTTAAAAAATACAACAAATCTACATAGTAATGCAGCCGTTATATCCTATATTAATAAGTTGTAGATAATTATTTTACTTGGGGGAAATAATCTCTTAATGAGATGTTTATCTCTTCAAAGTGAGTGAAGGGGTGTGTCCTTTCGTTTCACTGACTGTACGTTTCTTCCTTGTTTGCCTGATAAATAGGCAGGGCAGGAAGCCAACGGGAAGGGAGACAAGAATAACATAATAAAACTCCTCAATAACGCTTGTGATCTTTGGGTTGTCTACTCTCTCGTCCGTTCGTACGATAACGAACTTACCTATATCACTTTCGTTCTTCACCAGTTGGTATCAGAGCAAAGGTTTCTGCAATTTTTCTACAAATTGCAATCCATTTGTTTCTGCTGCAAACAAAGAACGATGGCCGGTGACAATGAGCGCCTCGACAACTTGGAACAACAAGTTGCCGGTATAAATCAATCCCTACAAGAAATATTGGCAGCCCTTCGCCTTGGTGATCAACCACATAATCAACGGGTGCCCAATCCACTACCGCGCCGGGATGATCGTGATGGGTACCGGATCAAGGCAGAGATTCCAATCTTCAATGGCAGCCTGGAAATTGAGCCATTCTTAGACTGGCTTAATGAAGTTGAACGGTTCTTCGAAATTATGGAAATTAGCGACGAAAGGAAAGTATCAATAGTCGCATACAAATTACGAGGAGGAGCCGGAGCATGGTGGCAAAATATTCGGGAAGAACGCTACCGTCTTCGTCAACAGCCAGTTCAAGATTGGCCGCTGATGAAAGAACTTCTTCAACAGCGATTTCTTCCCCGGGATTATACCCAAAATCTCTACCGCCAATTACTTGACTGTCAACAAGGAAATCGTTCGGTTTCCGACTACACTGAGGAGTTCTTACGTTTGACGGCCCGGTGCAATATCCAGGAAGACGACGACCTTCAAGTTGCACGCTATATCCGGGGATTGAACTCTGAGATCCGGGAGCAGATTGGAGTTCAAATTGTCATGTCTTTAATGGATGCCCGAGAGATGGCTGCACGAGCAGAGGCTCGGTTGACCCCGCAACCCCTTCGGCTGACTTATCCCTGACGAAACTACCGGGATACTCGTCTACCTCAGGCAACCGAAGTCGCTCCTCCACGCACTCCTCCTATCAACCGGGCAGCGACATCACAAACACACAGCAGACGCACACCACCTGTTCGCGCACCTGTGGGCCCTCGAGTTGCACCACAAACCACCAATCAGAACCCTTACCAACATCCGACAACTGGAAGGTGTTATCGTTGCAATCAACCTGGTCATAAGTCTAATGAGTGTCCCAATCGAAGGCCGGTGCATATGGTGGGTACTCCTTCTGAAGACGACACCAACGAAATTGAGAATCAAGCACCCGAATACGATGCTGATGACATATGTGGTGATGAACATGATGTGGCCACCTATGTGATTCAGAGGACACTTTGCTCTCCCCCGCAAGAAGGTTCCAGCCAACGGAAGCAGATCTTCCAAGCAAAGTGTCGTGTTGGTAGTCAGATATGCAGCCTCATCATAGATAGTTGCAGCTGCGAAAATTTGGTTTCCAAGAAGCTAGTTGAGGAACTTCAACTTCCAGCAGAGAGTCATCCCACTCCTTATCAAATTGGGTGGATTCAAAGAGGTCCAAAATTGACAGTGAACCAACGCTGCAAAGTTCCTCTTGCTATGGGGAAGTTTTACTCTGACCATGTATTCTGTGATATTGTGGAAATGGATGTTTGTCAGGTGCTCTTGGGACGTCCCTGGCAATACGACATGGACGCAACACACAGGGGTCGAGATAATACCTACCTCTTTCGGTGGCAGAATAAAAATATAATCATCGCAACACCGTGAAGAATTGCGGAGGCGTTTATGGTCTGGTTATCAAACCTGATTATGGAGAAGCCACAGTGCCCGAATCTATTCGGAATATATTGGATGAATTTCCCCAGCTCGTTTCCGAGCCCACTCACTTACCACCGTTGCGAGATATTCAGCATCACATTGATCTTGTTCCAGGTGCTCGATTGCCCAATCTTCCTCATTACAGACTCAATCCCGAGGAAGCAAGAATACTTCAGGAGAAGGTTGAAGCGTTACTACAGATTGGGCATATTCGGGAAAGCTTGAGTTCATGTGCTGTCCCGGCATTACTAGTGCCAAAGAAGGGGAACCAATGGCGAATGTGCGTGGACAGCCGAGCCATCAATCGAATCACAGTCCAATATCGGTTTCCCATTCCTCGGTTGGATGACATGCTGGACCAGTTGTCGGGATCAGTGGTTTTCACGAAGCTCGACTTGACAAGTGGATATCACCAAATTTGCATCCGACCGGGAGATGAGTGGAAGACAGCCTTCAAGACCAAAGAGGGGTTATACGAGTGGCTTGTAATGCCCTTCGGCCTCTCCAACGCACCAAGCACGTTCATGCGGCTCATGAATCAGGTGCTCAAACCTTTCCTCAACAAGTTTGTAGTTGTGTATTTTGACGACATCTTAATTTACAGCAGCAACAAAGAGGTTCATAAGGACCATTTGCGTCAAGTTTTGTCTGCACTCCATGACAATGAGTTGTATATCAACCTCAAGAAGTATCATTTCATGTTGGAACAAGTCTTGTTCTTGGGTTACATAATCGGTAAGGATGGAGTTCGGATGGATCCCCAGAAGGTTCAAGCTATTATTGACTGGCCAAGTCCTTCAACCGTCACCGAGGTACGAAGCTTCCATGGACTGGCCACATTTTACCGGCGTTTTGTCCGTAATTTCAGTAGTATTGTTGCTCCCATCACCGATTGCTTGAAGCAATCTCGTCCCTTTCAATGGACGACTGCTGCTGCTCGTGCTTTTGACGAGATCAAGCGCCGTCTCACCTCTGCCCCGGTTCTCGCCTTACCAGACTTCGATAAGGTGTTCGAGGTAGAATGTGATGCATGTGGAACAGGAGTCGGGGGAGTCTTATCGCAAGAGGGGCGTCCAATAGCTTATTTCAGTGAGAAGCTCAATGAAGCAAGGGTCAACTGGCCAACTTATGACCAAGAGCTCTTTGATGTGTTCAGAGCCTTTAAAAATTGGGAGCATTACTTGCTGCCAAAAGAATTTGTCATCTACACTGATCATCAGGCTTTGATACACTTTCGAACTCAACGGGATTTGAAGAACAAGCTTCACATTCGCTGGGCATCGTACTTTGGCCAATTCAATTATGTGATCAAACACAAATCAGGTTCTTCAAACAAGGTGGCTGATGCTTTGAGTCGACGAGCAAGTATTCTTCTTACTACTAGCCATGAAGTTGTTGGTTTCAACTTCCTTCCGGAACTCTACGTCGACGATCCCGATTTTGGTGTCATTTGGTCTAGGTACTTGGCAAAGCAGCCGCTTGGAGATTTTACCGTGCAAGAAGATTATCTCTTCAAAAGTAACCGGCTGTGTATTCCTCGCACTTCATTGCGGGAGAAATTTGTACGGGAACTCCATGCGGGGAAGCTACAAGGCCATTTGGGGCGTGATAAGACCATTGCTCGGTTGGAAGAACGGTATTACTGGCCGCAATTGAAAAGAGATGCTGGTCGGATTGTTCGTCAATGTTCCATTTGTCAAACTCAGAAGGGTCAGCTTCAGAATACTGGATTATACATGCCGCTGGCCATTCCTGATCAGCCGTGGGAAGACTTGTCGATGGATTTCGTCTTGGGATTACCTCGTACTCAACGAGGGTCTGATTCCATCTTTGTTGTAGTAGATCGTTTCTCCAAAATGGCCCATTTTATCCCCTGCAAGCAGACTAACAATGCACCTCACATCGCCAAGTTGTTCTTCCAAGAAATAGTTCGTCTTCATGGGCTTCCTCGATCCATCACTTCCGATCGAGATCCCAAGTTCCTGGCTGTATTTTGGTCCACTTTATGGAAGCGATTTGGAACTGAACTGAAATTTAGCAGCACTGCTCATCCACAAACCGATGGCCAGACTGAAGTGGTGAACCGAACCTTGGGCAATTTGTTACGTTGTCTGTGTGCAGAAAATCAGCGCCAATGGGACTTTGCCTTGGCACAAGCAGAGTTCGCGTACAACAGCGCTCCCCATCGAGCCACCGAGATGTCCCCGTTTGCGGTTGTTTATCGCCGCACTCCTGCAACCACTCTTGATCTCATCAAGCTTCCCACCGGGTTGAAGAAGAGTGAAGCTGCTGATTTGTTTGCTCAGTCTCATGTGGATACCATTGCCCAAGTGAAGCAGAAGTTAGAGCAAGCCTCTGCTCGCTACAAACTTGCTGCCGATCGTCATCGTCGTGCTAAGACTTATCAAGTGGGTGACTTGGTGATGGTCTATCTACGCAAAGAGCGTGGTGGCAGCCAGCGAAAGCTAGACCCAAGGAAGATTGGTCCTTTCAAGATTATCCGAAAGATAAATGATAATGCTTATGTCCTTGACCTTCCAGCACATATGCGCATTTCCAGCACTTTCAACGTGGCAGATCTGTATCCCTACTACTCTGCTGATCAATCCGAGACGGCTTGAGCACAAGTGGAAGGGAATAATGCAGCCGTTATATCCTATATTAATAAGTTGTAGATAATTATTTTACTTGGGGGAAATAATCTCTTAATGAGATGTTTATCTCTTCAAAGTGAGTGAAGGGGTGTGTCCTTTCATTTCACTGACTGTACGTTTCTTCCTTGTTTGCCTGATAAATAGGCAGGGCAGGAAGCCAACGGGAAGGGAGACAAGAATAACATAATAAAACTCCTCAATAACGCTTGTGATCTTTGGGTTGTCTACTCTCTCGTCCGTTCGTACGATAACGAACTTACCTATATCACTTTCGTTCTTCACCACATAGTCTGATTGATTTTAAACCTTTACTTTGTTTGAAGTGACCATGGTTCAAATCTCAATATGTCTATCTTTTTCTGTAAATAAATAAAAAAATACAGATAATTGTGAAGACAAAAATGTCATTCCTAATTTTCCTCTCATTGCAGGAAATTTGAAAAGGGAGATTAAATTTCCAATAATTAAATCATATACCCTAAACCTATAGAACTTAAACCCTAATATCACATATACTAAGAACATAAGCAATGATTCTGATTCGCCAAGATGTATACAACATACCATATGCACTATATTAGGATTTAGAGAATTATGATATAGAATTTAGTTACGTGATTAATCTATGGTCTAGTGGCTCATTTGTCAATGGTATTTAGTGCTCATAATTCTCAACCATTAGGGAAATTGTTAGCCAATGATTTTTGGTCATTCACCTATAGCATTGAAAATGTCTCGTTACAAAACCATAGATCACAAAATGTCAAAGTTCATGTTTTGAAATAAAATTTTGTATAACACTTTTGTAAACAATCCTTGTATTCCTACAAACTACAAAGTCATGTAACCTAATAAATGTAAAAGTTGTAAGACATACATAAACTCAAAATGTACTATTTGATTCTTGGTGAAGAATTGTGTGATTAGAGGAACTCACTTAGTTTTAAGTTGAACTTACAAATTTATCCCTAACTACAATTAAGAAGAGTGCAAGAAATTTGAAATGCTCAAAATCTCGGGATAACAAATCATAACATAAACAATCTTCAGCAAGAAGATGCGCTGTAATTGAAGGAAACAAATCGAGAAGACGAATCCTAGCTAGTTGCTGGGCCTTCTCATGCGTAAGGCTAAAAATCTCCGCCTAACTTCCCCCATGCGCGACATCTCATCATCTCTCCTCCGTTTCCTATCCCGTGCTATATAAATGAACCGCTCCTTCCAGTTCCAATTCGGTGCCTCGAAGGGACGGAATGGCACCTCCCGGTCGCCAAACTCCTGACGGAATTTGGTTGCCCACAGCTGGTAATCGCGGGAGGAGGATAGGCTCCGAAGGCTGCCACACACGCATTCCATCACTGCTAGCGTTGTACCCGGCACCATAGTCATGATTACGATCTTGAGTTCGTCCGGTAGAGTGGACAAGGAGCTGGGCCCTGTCAGTCCGGCTTCCTCCGAGATATTGATCAGCAAAGGGAAACACATTCCATCCTTGATCTTTCTCCGAAGTTCCGAAAGGTCCCCGCGATTAATTGCTGCCGCGAGTTCTCCGCTCTTGTCCAAGCACAGGCTGTGCATATTGGAATCTTTCCGGACCAGATGGCCGCAAGCTGTCAGCAGGTTTCCGCTAGCCTGGAACTCGACTTGTACCAACGGCGGCGGCGGCGGCGGCGGCTGCGTCCCATCATTATTATTGGCAACAAGGGCAGGAAGAGTATAATAATAGGAGGAGGTACAACAGTGACAAGAATCGGACTTATCGTCAATTGGTGTTTCGGTGTAACCCATGAAGCCCGATTCGATGAACGTGGCGTGGATTTCAGAGACCAAGAGCTGCTGCGCCATGCTTACCGAAGACTTCAGCCAAACCTCCATGTCCATGGTGCCCTAGTTTTTCTTTCTTTGTAATACGACGGGCGAGAGAGCGTTCCTTGTTTTATAGAGGGGAGAGGGAGACAACCTTGTTAACTAGACCGGATCCCTCACTGACATGGAAAGAAATTGGTTATTATTTTATTGGATTAATAGTATTTTAGATCTTTTATTATTATTATTATTATTATAAGTCCTCTAATAATATCTGGTAGAGTTTTGTGTACCCTTTCTCCATTTTATATTTTCTGCAACGAGAGTAAGAGCATAAAGGATAGTTTGGTCTTTATAATTTAATTATTTATTTTATATAAAAATATCAATATTAGTTTTTGAACCCGAGTCTCTTTCAATAAATACAACAATCCCAACCAATTATACTAAACAAATTTTTTGTATCTTTTGCTGTAACTTTTTGAATAAAAAACATGCACAAAGTTAAACTCTGAAAATCTGATGACTTTTCCATCATGATTAGCAACCCCATTAAGTCTACCGTATGTATTTTTCAATTTAAATATAAATTTTGTGGTTTTTGTTTTTTTTATCTTTTTTCTTATCTCTTTCTAACTTGTTTCCGAAATTCCCTACATCGTGCAATAGTTTGCGCCTCTTTCACTTTGCAGTACAAGGCCGTCTTTGAAAATCTATCTTCTGGTATCTCTAGGCACTACAGTTTTAATGTTGGGGATTTAAGCTGGGCGAGTAGAAGATTTCAACTCCGATATCAATTCATGGGGAATAGAATCGAGTTCAATAAATGAAGTTGCAGAAGGAGGACTAGAAATTGTATTTTTGGTTGAAACATATGCCTCTTGAAATTGACGATAGAGTGGATAAAATTTTGGTTGTACGACAAAGAGTAGTGGCTATTGGATCTTTAGGTTTATGCTTTCTGTGGCTATCACAACCTATTTATATCTTAAAACGAGGAATCATTGAAGGAGGTCGATTCTTTATTCAGCCTAATGGAACTTATAGATAAGGTGTGTCTAATTTTGTGTCTTATTACTTTGATCAAGTCTATTAGTATATTGGAGGTAACCCTAGTTTTTCGTTTGCTCTCAAGTTTTGATGGTCCACTTTTAGCTGAGTTGTTAGTATATAGTTGACTTGAATCAACAACTCTCCATTTCTTTTTAATTAGTGATGGCATATTTTATGGGCCGTGTGGGAATTCTAGTGAGCTTTTATACTCTATTTTTCTTGACAATCAACTAAACAATAGCATACCACTACTCACTACAGATTCCGTGCTCCTGCACTTTTCTTTTCTACCAATGCAAAAAAAATCCTCACAAACCAATCGACCACTTCACCGGCTCTCCCAATCCAGATCACCTAGCAAGCGATGTCCGATCAGGTAAGATGGGGCGAAGCCCGGAGGCCGAGCTCCGGCGATCTCCGCCGGGGGTGGATCTAGGGTTTGTATTGCAGAAGCCCGCGAGGTGTACTGCGAGAGACCGGAAGGATTTTGGGCTTGGGGCGAGTGGCTTATTGGACCAGGAAACTGTTTGGACTTTGAGCGATCTCCACCTCAATCAGCCAAGGCGATGGCCGACCTTCTCCCCTCCTCCTGGCATTTCTCCGATCCCCCGCGGCGTTTGGATGGAGGCTAGTTGGTAGTTCCTCCTATCATCTTCGCCGTCGAGTTCCAGCCAACAATAGATGGAGCCTTCTTCCAGGTTCTTCTCTATTTCTCTATAGGGCTCGTTTTTCATTCCATTTCTGAAGTGTGATCGTCGCCGGAGGTGGATTCATCGAGTTATGATTGAGTTCTGTTAATTCCTAAATTCATCTGGAGAGAGTGGATTGAGTTCGTTTGGGCTCAGCGACCACCAAGTCGCTGACTCACCGTCTTCATTTTTGTCATCTATTCGACGCTTGTCGTTGGTTTGAGCCTCTCTACGAGTCTCTTCATTTCGAATTGAATTGGTCGTGGTTCTGGTTTCCGATCGATCATCAATGTCTTCCTCTCCATCTCTGATCAAGGCCCCGATGGGGACGCCTCTCCGACGTGCATTAATAGAGGGTTCTACGGACTGAGGTAATTTTGGAATAACCCCTGATTATTGGCTTGAAATTAAATGGTTTATTTCCCCCTATTAGTCAATTAAGAGGATTAACTCCTCAATTACTTTCTGCTAATCAATTGTGAAGGTTATTACCATGTAACCTATTTTTAATATCTTATTTTGATTGTCCAGCTCTCTTGCCGCCAACGGTGCATTGATCACCATCGGTGGTGGTTAATTCTAGACATTAAATGTGTTTCCTGATCTGTCTGTTAAAACTTTTAACCTCATCCATCATTAATTGAGTTGTTTAATTCCATTTACCGGCAACGTGTAATACCTTATAGGGAGATTTGTATTAATTGTTATAAATATTTTTCTCCCATTTTCAATGGCATTATTGACTTTCCTTTAATCGGGGTGCTCTTTGACTAATTTTTCTTTTCTATAATGATTACAGGTTATTCATTTACATTATTATATCATATTTTAGTAGCAATGTATTATCATTTTTTGTCACTAATTATGTTACGTTTTTAATTTTCTCTAGTGGAATTTATTATCAATTACCATTGAGATTGTGCCTCTTTCAAAATGGTAGATTATAATATCTTTAGATATGGATTTCTAGTATTATAGTGGATCTTTTTGAGTTCACCACATTGCAGGGGAACCTTATAGTAATTAAGATACACGAAGAACGAGCAATCAACCTCATCATGTTATCAGTTAAGGTCATTTGGTCTTGTTAAATAATACATGTTATTAGTGATGCCTATTAGATGATGACTCACTCATTATATCTTGTCCTTTTCTTATGAGGAAATTATCAACTGATCATTGAAGATGCTTCAGAGAGGAAGACTCCGAAGGAAGTTTCTCTTTCTCTCTTCTCTCACTCTGTGTCAGTTTCGTGTCTTTTTGCTTTTCGGAGCGTTCTCAGAGCTGCCCACCTCGTGGCATAACAGGCTCTTTCATCGGGAGTCCGGTTGTATACGGACTACCGTTCATTATTGTAGTTTTTTATTGTTGTTATCCGGCCATGCCTTGGGGGCTTATCTTGGATTAAAAAAAAACTAAACAATAGCATTTTAACGGGGCTTAATTATCACTATGAAAATGGGATCAATGATACATTTTTATATTTTATATTCTTAAATGATTGTGATGTTTCTCTTAATGTTTGACCTATATATTCTTTCTTTATGTATCATTTTGATCGAATGATTATCAATAAACTTAAACAGGTTGATAGATTTAAAAATATAAATAAATAAATAATCAAATATGAACATTCCGACCAACAGACCGAATTATAAGCTAGTTAACAAATATATTCCTTTATTTTGTAATTTCATGCCCTCTAGAGCATATCCTTCTGTTAAGTTTCCTGTTAAATAATTGTTAGGAGTGAGATAAAATGTCTTTAGTTACCCCTCCACACCAACTTACACGATTAACTTAAGTAAATCTTCCTAAATCTATTTATTTATATTTTTCAGGTAAGTAAATCTTCCTAAATCTATTTATTTATATTTTATTCAGGTAAGTCCCATTTCAAATTTCGTGACTCGAGAGTAATTCTAAAAAGGTCATTTTTGTTATTGCACCCAATTCATCTTTATATATTAAAACTATAATTATTGGGATTCGAACCCTGATAATTTAAATGAAAACCGAGCATTATAACAAACTAGATTATATTATATTTATTTTCATTTGTCTGATTAAACTCTAGAATATGTTTGGTGATGAGTGTAAATGGGCACCTGGTCGGGCCGCCCACGGGCTAGCACGGCACGCTGGGCCGTGTCGGGCCTAATATTTTCCATACCTTATTGAGTATAAGAATGGACATGGTAAGAAAATAATATTTATTTGATACCAAAATTAATATAGAAAGAATAATAGGTTCAAATATTACAAAATAAAAGTAAAAAATTAATTGTTTATTGTTGTTAGAATTGAAAAATGATAAAAACATATTTATTCGCAGTGACATGATAGTGACATGGCGGGTTGGCAGTGACATGGCGTGTTGACCAACGGTCAACGCGTTTGACCGTCCAAGTTAACGGTCAAAAGTCGGATCTGGCCAAATTGTTTATTTTGGTGTATAGTTCGGGCCAGGATGTTATAGATCGAAAAGATTGGTCAAGATGTTTATTTTGGTCAAAGTTCAGGCCATACGAAAATATTAACCCTTAGTTTATTCACAAGCTATCAAAAAACTTTGCTCTGTCGAGGAATAAGCGGCTATCTGTTCGCCGGACTTCGGGTGCTACGACTCACAATGTCGATTGTGAATGAAAAAGAAGCATTTAGATCGCAAAATTGGAGAAGAAATTGTAATGTTCTAGGTTTCTCTCGATTCCAGACAGTGGGAAGAAAGAGGAAGTGAAAGGGAGGAGTGGTGAGATCCAGAGCTCGGAGAGAGAGATGGAAGAACGAACCGAAAAAGATAGAAAAAGGCAAATGGAGAGTGAGAGGACACATTTAAAAGAGGGGGGAAATGAAGTTGTGTGAAATAATTATCCCTCTACTTTGCTTAGTGGATATTGATGGTCCTCTTCTGTTGAGTTTGATTATTTAGGGATGACATTTGACTGATTTTTTCCATTTTAATTTAAAATCCAAACAAATATTATCGTTTGGTTGAATTTTTTTCCTTAATACGGTTGTTGTAATTTCTGAGATCTAAGGGGTATTTATAATGTCAATATTTTAGTGGTTTTTTATTTAAAGTTTGAATTGAAAAATCGTATCGGCAGTTCGGCCAGAAAAACCTCATATATACCGTAGGCTAAATCGGTAGGTGATATTTAGTAATATGAAATGGTTGAACCATGGTTAAATAATTATTTTGTATAAAATTCTCTATCACCGAATTTTTTATACGATTTTAGAATCGCTGGTTCAAACAATTATTTTACATTGGTGGAAACAAAAGTTATAAGACACATTTTGAGCTATCTATTGCAAAAAAGCATAAGT